CGCATAACTCGTTGATATTCGATCAACTTCGATTGATCAAAAGTCATCACAAGATGAAAACCGAACTGATCGTGAGTGAGAAAATTTTAGGAACAAGTTTCAAAACGACGAAGTCAAAAAAAAAATCAAGGTGTCGATGGAAATCTGAAAAAGCTACCTGTTCTAAGGCTGCTTCTTCGGAGACCGGAGCTAAAGTGGCCGGCCTTCCCAACCCCAAATGTTTCATTCGTAAACGAGTCGTTAAATGCGCCAAACCTGAATTTGTCCCAGTAACTAATGCACGGAAACACAACACAATAATTTCGTTCCCTCAGAACCTTTGAAATTCACTCAAAATATTCGAATGAAATGAATGATCAATCGATCAAAACTTATCAAAATCGCACCTCTTCCGAGCGGAATCAACAATCGATTACGGAACACCCCATGTGTCTTCCCATATCTGATCACCCGATCGGCTATTGGCCTTGAAATTTGCCGGGCCGCAATCATAAACACCTATATGAGCATTCACAATCAGTCATTTCTCGATATTAGTCTATCATCCATAATATCAAGTTTCCAATTCATGAAATGCTCTCTTATAACAAATCCTCATTCGACCAGAACATTTTGCAATTGAATTTTAACATTCAAAACGCTAATCAATTCATTATGAATGGACCTATGTTGTGAAAAAAAAAAACTGAACGTAATGAATGACCGAATAAGATGATAAAGCTGACCTGTACCATTGGAAGACCCATAGCTTTTGCTATAACTTGTTAATAATATTGAAAGAAATTAAGACTGATTGAAAATGTCAACAGCGAACGAAATAAAGCTCTTCAGAAGCAAGTTCAGCAGATAATACTGTTGTGACTGCCGTTCTTGTCATAAACAGCGGATGTTTCGGCCGGTTCAGAAGACATTCAGACTACATCCAATAAATTGTGTGATATTAGTTGAGTTCGAAGAAACTGAAAACGACGAAAGGTTAGTCACGAAGTATTGCTCTCGAATCAAGAAGTTTAAGAAGTATTGCTCTGAAACTACGTCGTTCAGAATTTCATCCATATTCGCCACACAAAACATTTATCGTCGAATAATAAAGAAAGAGAAACCAAACAGTTGGCAAAGAAAAATTCCTTTCTTCACAAGACGTTCACTGAAAATTCTTGTTACGAACAGAATAAATTCAAAACAATACGATGATATTTATCTATTAAAAATTCTCTTCAATGACGATTCCAAAAGTGCTCACTCAGAAAATCCAGTGATGCCAATCAAAAGCATCTTAAAACTTTTCGAAGATCACCCTGAACACTACTCTACTCGATTTTATAATTTAAGTAAGAAACATATGATTCGCAAAAAAAGACTGAAAAGTACGACGAACACTTGTGAGAACCACTAACTGAGTTGTTACCTCAAAGCAGTCGTCGTTTCAAGACCCCTATTCACGATTTTCAGTACTGATATAACAATAGACTTGATAATAGTAATAGCGGTTGGATGCCAGAGATGTATTAATGACGGGTTTCCTATAACAATACACTTCATCGGAAAACTTGGGTTTGACTTCAAATGATACT